TCTCTCTCTCTCTCTCTCTCTCTCTCTCTCCTCGATACAAACGCCCTTCCGTTTTATCTCTTTTCCTCCTCGCCTTTTACTCTGTTTCTTTTCGCCCTCATCCCATTCGCTAGGACCCCGCACGTAATTAAGAAATCTCCGTGGAAGGCTCCGGACTGCTCTGTTGGTCGGTACCACGGGTTAAATTAAGTCTATGACTTATTCAAGTTTTATCTACAATTGCCAGAGAAGGAATTACTGTCCCGTGGATTTACTGCCGTCATTGTAATCAAACGCGCTCTGCAAATCGTTTGATACAGATAGATACAAATACCTGGCACAGAATATACTACAACAAGATGAAACCCAATTCGAACATATGTAGATTTCGTTAGAAGTAACTAACACCGTGGCAAACGTAATTCTCTCATAGCTTTGGCACAAAATTTTCTTCACTGTTTTCACATCTTCAAGTTTCGTGAAACGATCCTTACGAGCCAAATATGATCTGAATCATGAAACGCAGTCTTGTCCAAATTTACGTTAATTTAGATTTGGAATCGTTTAGATCCAACTACCTAAATTTAGCATATTTTATCTCCAACACATCCATCGTTTGAAAATTCTTTCAATTCTTCCCGTCGCATCGGACTGCAGACTGTATCTTATTAGCTCCATTGTGCAATTTCCTGCGCCGGCGTGAACGTATCTTTACACCTCGGCCGACGAATAAGACATTAATCGCGACTCGACGAGAAGGTGAAGGCAGTTTGTAACTGACGGTAAATGCGGAGCGTCGGGGGGTTGCCGGGGGGTAGGGAGGGGTTGTCGGTGGTTACCGGGAGCTAGGAGAATCGCGTGTCATTTGTCCGTTGATCTCCCGCGGCTGGGAAACAGCCAGGTGCAAGCTAGTTCCTCCACGGTGCCGCTTTTCTTAAGCGCAAAAATTAGCGCCACCCTCCACACCATTCGCCGCCCCTGTGCCACGATTCTTGCCGGGCTATCCGCCCGACCAAAGCACAAGATGAGAATTAGCCACGTCGTTTATCGAAGGAGGATCATTTAGAACAGAATGCCGTGAACCTCGCTATTTTACCGGGGATTATTATATCGCGTAGGATTTCCTTAATGTGCTTCATCATTTGGGATTTCCAACGGAGAGTTCCGCAGAGTTAGTTCCTGAAATACAGACTCACGCTTAACGATTCTCAATTAACAGGCAGCTCGTGCTCGCGTTATTGTTAGACGCTGAAATGTATTATTAGACCACGAAAGAAGAAGGAAAAAAAAAAAAAGAACTTTCTACCGAAACGTCTAACGATCGTTTCTCGTGTTCTAAATGCGGATCGTGTTGTTTTGTCAGTCGATTGAACTTGACGAGGGGGTGAGTTTCCTGTCGTTGATGTACGTAGGTGGACGTGGCAGATAGAGAAGTCCGTACGCTACGTATAATAATCGTTACAAAAGAGAATTGGAGGCTACGCAGTGTGTTCCGTTGCTTCCTAAACTAAACTCGTAATCTCACATAAGCTCGCAAGCTGGGCTTTCCCATACGAGCTTCCTCCGCGTGTATTGTACAAGGGACTAGGTGGAAGCTTTGTGTGAAACGTAGTCAAGTATCGTGAATCTAATAATACGATCATTAACAAAAATTTACACACGCCGAAGGAATTCTCACAGGAGAAGAATTCCTTGTCTCCGTTATTTCTTTCGTCATTCGTTTTTTTTTTTTTTTTTTTTTTGTTTCAAAAAGATTCACATTGTTGGAATAAATTAACTTTACTATTTTAGGCGAATCGTAGATAATGTTTTTATCGAATGGCGAATCATGGTTCGGTGCCTGTACGTCGAACGAGAATGACGAATATTCGCAAGTTTAATTTAATTCAGGTTCTCCGTGCACGTTCCACGAACTTTAGAGGGTCTAATCGCTTGGAAGAAGTATAGAAGACGTTGTAATACCTTATTCGCCGTACGAATCTCGTACTGCACATTGATCCTCTTAAATTCCCATGTAGTCTCCGTCTTGGCATTAGCATATTATCTTCCGCAACCTCCTTCCCCCATCGCTTTCCCTTCTCCGTCCCTTAGTTCCACCCCCTTCAGCCCTCTGATTCGCAGAAGACTTTGCAGACACTTGAGAGTTTGTTTTAAAACTCAGATAATCGTTTCGAACTCCCACTCCCTCTCGGCTTCTCTCTCTTCTTCCACCCACTTCTCTCTTTCGCTTCTCTCGTTCTTCGTCTCAACCGGCCTATCCCTTTCCCACGAACGCGTTCTCCGCCCTCTCCGGTCTCAAGGGGAAAATTAGATCAAAATAAGACTTCTCGCCAATTTTTAAACGTGTTACACCGTTGTCTCCGTGGGAAAGGGGAGATTGCCCGTCGTTGAGACGACACGATAAAAAAAAAAAGACGAGAAAGATCTCGCGAATCGATTAGACATTCGAAACGGTTCTCGCCGTTTACGCGGGTTTAAAAAGCCGCGTGACGCGTTTGATGGATGAACGAGGGCGCGAGGCTTCTTTTTCAACGAGGCGTTTCCTTTCCACTCGGCGCGGAGAGTCGCAGAGGAGAGAAGCAGAAATGGAACAGCTCGAGGGACAAGGACCATGAGGATAATTGAATTTATCGAGGGTGATGAC